CAATTGGTTTCATTAAAAAAATTTACCACATAAGTAAATTATTTGCAACTAAAACAATTTGTATATGATCATAATCATATATAAACACTATTATTATTTTATGATTATATAATAAATGGAATTAGGGTAAATGTAGAAAATTTAAAAACAAATAATTTTTTCTTTAAAAATGTTGTGTATTTGTCATTTTTCAATTTCCATCGATCGAAAATATTAAATAAGTTATAATATTCTAACGGTTAATATTAGCAAATACATAATATTCGCAATTTTTAATGAATTATAAATTCTGATAAAATTTCAACCGTTATCAAAAAAATGAATTATAACATTAAGTTAAGTCACATTTTAAATATTTGTTATCCTCAGGAAATATTTAGTATCTGTACATATGTACAGTACATACATACATTCATACAGTATTTCGTGACAATATATTTGTTTCATAAAGTTAGCCACCCGATTTTGTATTTAAATAATAAGCCTACTTGATTGAATTCGTAATTATGTAGTTATCGTTATAGTGTTTTGAGAAATGGCAAAAAAATCACAGCCTATTTAATAAGTTACACATTCTTAAATACAGAACCAGAATAAGCCACTCTCATTCATGAATCTTTTTGAAAAATATACCTTTCGTGTGATCTTATGTCTACATCAAAACCTTTAGAAAAAAGTGGAAGACAGTCACGCAATGTGAGCAGATCTAATCGTTCCAGTGTATCTGAAAGCATAGTGGAAGAAAACACTAAAATAGCAAAACTTTTTAGCCCAGAAGGTGAAAATATAGGTTTTTGCTATCAGGATAATGATGACATATATCTTGAAAATTATCGTGAAAAAATTTCGAGAAATGAAAAAAATCGCAGAAAATATCTCTGCGCTGTGTGTGGATTGTTTGGTGTATTAATAGTCATTGTTTGTATAATAGTTTATGTTATAAAAATTCATTCTGAATATATGTGAGTGAATCTTGATTAAAAAAAAAAAATAAATTTCTAATATAAAATTATTTTATTGTGTATACTGCCATATCAGACTGCATAGGTGCAATACACTCTTGTAATTTGGTATGTGATTATTACTACATCTATATTTAAGAATCCCTGTTTCCCTTAGTTTTTACATATTTGAGTATTTAAATAACTGATAATAAAGGTGGCTACTTACCGTGTGATTTGTTATTGCGAACTTTATTATTGAATTTAGTTATACATTTCTTTATAGAATTACTACATAGCCAATTGAGATGAAAATTAT